CGCAGCTAGCGTAACTTCGTCGCTGGGGGCGCCGCTAATCGCGGCGGCCTTTTCGAGAAAGTGCCCGCGCCGCCCCCGGGCGGGGATGGAGGCAGAAACGCCCCCCCCGTCGCCGGGGGCGCCACTAGGCGCGGCAGCTCCACGTGGGAAGGCTTCCGCGTCGCCCCTGGGCGGGGATGACGCGGTGGTAGACCGGGCCCCGTGCGCTGTCTGCGCCGCATAGCTTGCGAAACTTCCGCCAGTGGGGGCGCCGCCAATCGCGGCGGCCTCCCACGAGAAAGCGCCTGCGCCGCCCCTGGGCGGGGGCGGAGCAGCGCAAGGCATAACCAACCCTCCATCGCAAGAGGCGCCACTAGCCGCGGCAACTCCGCAAAGCCCCCCCCCGCCCCCGCCCCCCCCCCACAAGTCTCCGACCCCCCGAGCATCCAGCCGCGGCGGCGAGGGTTCTCCAGGACGAGCAGCGGCCCGCGCGCAAGCAGCGTCGTCGAACCACTCCCCGTGCTCCTCCACGTCATCCCGTTCGACCGGAATCTCTCCGCGTAGTCCCTCTCAACGATTCCCCCCTGCGCCAACTCGACCCCGTCCTCCGTCTCCTGCGCCGCGTCCTCGCCTACCACGCCCTGCGCCGCGCCCCCCTCCTCCCGCGCCACCTCGTCCTCGTCCTTCGCGCCGTAGTCCGTCGCCTGCTTCGCATCCAAATCGGTCAACAATCCGACGCCCTCCGTCAGCAACAATTTGGAGCCGTCGGCGTCCGTCAACGCGTCGTCGTCGTTCCCCCTCTTCCTCGTCGACGTCCAAACCGAACTTGAGCTTGCAGGGGGCCCTCAGGTCGTCGAACCTGGCCTCCAGCATGGCAAGGTGGTCGGTCTCGACCACGCTCAGGGACCTGGCCTCGACAACGCGCGCGGCCTCCGCCGCGCGCGCGGCCACCGGTGCAGCCGAGCGCCCAGACAGCCTCCAGCGCTGCAGCGCGCTCAGCCTGCGCCACGCGCGCGGCTCCCGCATTGCGCGCGGCCACCAGCATGGCCGCGCGATCGGCCGCCGCCGCGCGCTCGGCCGCCGCCGCAGCGGCGCCTGGAGCGGCCGTCGAGGCAGCCGCAAGTGGCCACCTGGCCTGCGCAGCGCACGCCGCGAGCGAGGCAGCCTGCGCCAGCGCGGCCGCGGCCGCCCAGAGCGCGGCGTCGGCCGAGACGAGGCGCAAGCGCTGGCCGCGGCGGCCGCAGCGGCAGCGGGGCCCCCATCGGCGCGCGACCTCGGCTCAGTGCCCCCGCCCGCGCCCGCCCCCAGCGGGAGCCCTGGGGGCAGGGCAGGAGCCGACCCTGGCCTGGCGGGACCGGACGGCCCCCGAGGCCAGAAGCGCCCGCGGCGCCCGCGGCGGGCGCGGCGCCCGCGGCGCGCGCGGCGCCCGCGATACCCGCGACGCCCGCAAGGCCCGCAACGCCCGCGGCGCACGCTGGGCGCCCGCAGCACCCGCGGCGCCCCGCCGCAGCGCCAGCGAAGGCGGTGGCGCCGGCGACGCGAGCAGCCCAGGCAGCCGCCCGCTGGCGCCGGCGCGCGCCGCCGGCGTTTGCGACTCCATCGCCTGCAGAGGCGGGCGCCAGGAAAGGGAACCCATCCCCGCGCCCGCCAAGCTGGCCGAGATCGGGGCCGACCCCGGCCCCCAGGCGCGCAAGCCGGCTTGGCTTCCCTCGAGCCAGAGCGACCTTGAGCCCGAGAGCTACGGACACATCCTCAACACATCTTCATGCTAGACATCTGCCTGGGCGACCTGGACACATGAAAGCAAGCGTCTCGCCCGAGGGGTCCTCCACACATCTTCATGGTAGACATCCGCCTGGGCGACCTGGGCAGGCAAAAACAAACGTTTCGTTCGACACCTTATCAACACATCCTTATGCTAGATATCCGCCTGGGCAACCCGGATTCATGAAAACAAGCGTTTTGTTGATTCGTTGTTCTCTCCCTCTCTCTAGAAGAGAGAGAGAGAGAGAGAGAGAGAGAGAGAGAGCGAGAGAGAGAGAGAGAAGAGAGAGAGAGAGAAAGAGAGAGAGAGAGAGAGAGAGAAAGACAAGAGTGACTCTCTAGAAAAAGAGAGAGAGAGAGAGAGAAAGAGAGAGAGAGAGAGAGAGATCTATCCTCATGCTAGACATCCGCCTGGGCGACCTGGACACCTGAAAACAAGCGTTTCGCTCAACGCATCCTCGACGCATCCTCATGCTAGGCATCCGCCTGGGCGACCTGGGCACGCGAAACCAAGCGTCAACCAGGGGCAAGCAATACTAAAAGAGAATCCTGGGCCTCTGCCCTTTCTGGGAAATATCAGACTTTACTTCGTTATATATTGCAAATAATTCCGCCAGCCGTCTTCAAGTCGCCCCTTGGGGTCAAACCTACGAAAAGAAAACCCTAAGCCCATGCCCTTTCCGGGAACCAGGGGCACCCTGACGAACAATTAGCCTGGCGAATGACCCAACCATATACAATTGTGAATACCGTCGCTGTACGCACCGCATTCGGAGGAGCTCCCTCTAGGGCCACGAAACGTGTGAGGGGTGTGCCAAAATTTGTCCAGTGGACACATGCGAAAGCAGCCGCAACGTGTGAAGGGTGTGCCGACATGGGTGTGCGTGACGCATGCGGGCGGTGGCACTGGGGCCTTCGGTGGAGCTCCCGATGGGGCCTCGAAACGTGTGAGGGGTGTGCCGCATTGAGCATGCGGGCGGTGGCACTGGCGCCTTCGGTGGAGCTCCCTGTGGGGCCACGAAACGTGCGAGAGGTGTGCCGACTTGGGTGTGCGTGACGCATGCGGGCGGTGGCACTGGGGCCTTCAGTGGAGCTCCCAATGGGGCCACGAAACGTGTGAGGGGTGTGCCGACTTGGGCGTGCGTGACGCATGCGGGCGGTGGCACTGGGGCAGCTCCCTATGGGGCCACGAAGCGTGTGAGGGGTGTGCTGAAATGGGTGTGCGTGACGCATGCGGGCGGTGGCATTGGGGCCTACGTGTGAGGGGTGTGCTCAAATAGGTGTGCGTGACGCATGCGGGCGGTGGCACTGGGGCCTTCGGTGGTGCCCCGATGGGGCCCAGAACCGTGTGAGGGGTGTGCCGAATTGGGTGTGAGTGACGCATGCGGGCGGTGGCACGTGGGCCTTCGGTGGGGTCCCCTATGGGGCGACGAAGCGCTGTACTGGGTGGGTGGCACGCAGGGGGGAGGGAGGAGGGGGGGAGGAGGGGGAGGAGGAAGGAGGCGGGAGCAAGAGAACGCGGGGCGCCGTCTCTTTTAAAAACGAAAACTCAACATCACAAGAAAATTGAGAACATGATCGACCACGAACCTGGAAAGGAATATAGAAATGTAAGACATGGCAACGTTTCAAAGACACCTCATTGGGCGACGGGCAAATCCAATGACTAGTGTATCGATCTTGATGTACCGTGCCGAGGGCTGTGCTGTGCTGCGCCGTGCTGAACGGCGATGTGCCATTCCGCGATTTTGCTCTATAGCGTTGTGGATCGAGTCCTCCTTTGCGTCCGAGTCCTGACCGAACTGATCTGGATCTTAAGCTCGAGCTGCCTGAGCACATAGTAGCTGCCCCAGAGCTAATCGACAGGGGAACATGCCAGGAAGACGCGCCGCGGACCGTCCCAAGGGACGCGCCGGGCGACGTCCCAAGGAACGTGCCATGGGAACGCACTGCGGGACGTGCCAAGGGGACGCGCTACGGAACCTGCCAATGGACGTGCCACGGGACGCGCTCCCAGGGCCACGATCCCTTATAAATTACGCTGCGTCCGCGCTCCCAGGGTCACGATCCCTCGTAAATTACATTGGGGTCGCGCTCCCAGGGCCCAACCTCCCAGGGCCACGATCCCTCGTAAATTACGCTGCGTCCGAGCCCCCAGGGCCCCGATCCCTTGTATTCTACGCTGCGTCCGCGCTCCAAGGGCTACGATCCTTCGTAAATTACAATGCGTCCGAGCTCCCAAGGCCCCGACCCCTCGTAAAGTATGCTGCGCCTGCGCTCCGAGGGCCACGATCCCTTGCAAATTACGCGTGGTCCGCGCTCCCAACGCCACGATCCTCTGTAGATTACGCCACGTCCGCCCTCCCGGGGCCTCCTGGGGCATGCTGGCGCGCCCAGGTCCCTCAAGTTTTGCCAAACAAGCGTTTCGCTCGAGACATCCTCGATTGTTTGGAGTTTGGTGCGCACCATCCTCGAACGGGCACGCAAAAACTCAACATTTGCACAGTAAATCATAACAACAACTAACGAATTAGTCGAGACATCCTCGAAATTTCTGCGCGCGGGACGCGGCACGCGCGAGACATCCTCGGAATTCCTGCGCGCGGGGCGCTTTTCCGCGTCGCGGTCGGGGCTCCAGAGCTTTGTTTTTGCTGGAGGATTCTGCTAAAAGTGCCCCGCACTTTCTTTTTTTTACAAAAAGGAGAACGTGAGTCCGCGGACCCTGTTATTTATCGAGGATCCGAGGTGGGGGGTCGCCTTTCCTCGAGCAGGCACGCGCGAGACGCATTTTTTTTCACGCCGAAATGGACTTTACCTAGTTTTCAATCGAGCGGGAATATGCCGGCCCTCTCTGGGGGAGAATCAACCTAGTACAAGAAAACCCTCGGTCCGCGCCCTTTCCAGGAAAACACACCGTTTCTTGATGTGCGCCTCCCTGTGTTTCAGCGCCTTGACTGTAGACGGGAGACGTCGGCAGGGGACGACGAGAGAACGACGACAGCATCGGGGGAGGGTGGGACGACGAGGCCGAGGACGATGAGGACAATGCCGACAACGAGACGATTAGCAGGAGGAGGAGGAGGAGGAGGAGGAGGAGGAGGAGGAGGACAAGGAGGAGCAGGAGGAGGAGGAGGAGGACAAGGAGGAGGAGGAGGACGAGGAGGAGGAGGAGGAGGAGGAGGAAGGGGAGGAGGAAAATGAGCAGCAGGAGCTGCATCGGGAGCAGGAGGGCGTCGGCAGCAAAAGCGCGCGAGCTCCCGACGCGTCCAGCACGGCGGTTGTGCGCAGGGCCGCGACGTCGCTCCCAGCGAACGCCTCGCTGATGGCCAGGCAGCACGTCTGCTCCCCGCGGAAGATGGCCGGGAGGAGCTCGTCCTGGCCGGGGGTGGGGAGGATGGCGGGGGGGAGGGGGGTGACAGTTCTCTGTGTGTGCGCGACTGCTGCCAGTCAGATTTCCCCAAGACATTTCCGAGCAGGTAGAGAAACTTGTGAACTACCAGCTCGATTAGAGTACCAGCCGTGCTCCCCCGGTCAAGGCACTTCTTCTTGGGAAACTGTCCTTGTCTGTACCCTCCCCAACGCTTCGCGACTATCTGCAGCGAGGGCCGCCGGGCCCTCCAGAGCGGCTTCACACACAGTGCGAACATCCGAAGCACGAGGGGAGAGGGGCAGGAGGACGGGGGAGGAGGATGGAGGAGTACGGAGGAGGGAGGGAGGGAAGGGTTGGAGGGGTGGAGGGAGGGGATGGAGGGAGGGAGGCAACCGGGATGGACGAGAGCAAGAAGCGAGAGAGCGTGTACTCCTGGGTATGTACAGTCTCCTAGCTTGTGGTGGTGGTGGTGCCCTGGGCTGGAGAGAGGAGGCAGTGAGGATGTTTGCTGGGAGGAATGGGGGGAGACACGGAAGAGAATTTGCGCGACGGACTGTGATCCTGAGGGAAGCGGGTCCTCTGGACCTCGGGCTCTGAATACTGAATCGTTGTTTTAACGGTCTCGGGTCCAGCAAAACACCTCAGGACAAATTTCCCTCAAGATCCCTGTCCTTCATGGCTGCAAGTAGAGAACGGACCACAACTGCGTAACCAAAGATATTCGAAGGTCCCCGCGGACATTCGAACTGTTCTGTTCACGCATGTCTTCCCTTCTGCGGACTGGTGTCGGAGCAGTCCCCGCCCGTGCAGGAAGAACCGAAGACGCGGAGGCAAGCAGGCACACGGGTAAGGGGAGGCGGGACGCGCGTGGCGGAAGTGGGGAAACCAAAAGGTACCCATAAAGACGAAGCCAGGACGAGGATAACATCGGGCGAGGATAAATCAAGAATCTCTGAGATCTGCCGGCTCTGGAGGATGTGTCTGGCGCCACGGCCTTCTCAGAGCGTTCCAAAACGCTCTGAAAGCGTTTCGGCACGCTCTGGAACGGACTCATCCTCGTCTTAGCTCCATCCGACCCATCCTGCTACTCCCCGGACCTCTGCCAGGGGTGCGTTCTGACCGGCATCTCGAGGCGAATCCAGCGGTGGTGACGACGGCCTCCCTGGAGGCCCCCCAAGGGCGAAAACGAGGAAGGTTAGCGGTATCCGTACCATTTCTGAGACCCGACTTTGCAGAACACTTGTAACATCGCAAACATGATCGACCCACGAACCCAGAAAGGAATATAGAAACGTGCGGCACGGCAACGCTTGCAAGATGCCTGATTGGGCGACGGGCAATTGCAATGCTGAATCTATCGATGTTGATGTACCATGCCAAGGTCTGTGCTGTGTTGTGCTGTGCCGTGCTGAATTGCAATGTGCCATGCTACGATTATTCTCTATAGTGTTGTGGATCGAGTCCTCCTTAGCATGCGAGTCCTGACCCAACTGATCTGGATCTTAAGCTCGAGCTGCCTGAGCACATAGTAGCTGGCCCAGAGCTGGTTGAAATGCAAACGAGCGGGACGCTCAATCAACTCGAGCTCAAAATCCGACCCGAAAAGGGACGACACGACACGGGGCACAGGCTCACGGACGCGCCACAGGATGTGCCAGGAGCGCTATAGGGGATTCGCCAGGGGACGTGTCAGGGGACATACTGGCGGACGTGCCCTGGACGTGCACCGGACGCGCCAAGGCGCGTGCCATTGGGCGGGCCAGAGGACGTAGTGCCAGGGAACGTGGCAAGGGGCGCCACGGAACGGGCAGGGGAAACGCCTGAGGAAGAGCGAGGATACGCGACAGGGGACGAGCCAGGGAACGTGCCACGCCGAGGATCGTGCTAGGGGACGTGCCAGGGCAACTCACGCCAGAACGTTGGAAGAGACGCGCCAGGGGACGGGCCAGCGCGCCAAGGGACGCCCCACGGACGGGCGGGGTTGGGCTGCGACGCCTTTTACTGCGACAAGCGTTTCGCTTGAGACATCCTCCACACATCCTCATGTTTGACATCCGTCTGGGCGACCTGGGCACGTGAAAGCAAGCGTATCGCTCGAGACATCCTGAACACATCATCCATGTTAGACATCTGCCTGGCCGACCTGGACACGTGAAAACAAGCGTTTCGCTTAAAACACCCAGCCCAAATCCTCATGCTAGACATCCGCCTAGGAGACCAGGACACGTTAAAACAGGCGTTTGGCCCGAGACATGCTCAACACATCCTCATGTTAGACATCAACCTGAACGACCTGGACACGTGAAAAACAAGATCGGCCCATGAACCCGGAAGAGAATATAGAAATGTGAGGTATGGCAACGTGTTCAAGACACCTGATTGGGCGACGGGCAATTGCAATGCTGAGTATATCGATCTTGATGTACCCTGCCAAGAGCTGTACTGTGCTGCGCCGTGCTGAATTGCGATGCGTCATGCCGCAAGTTTGCTCTGTTGCGTTGTGGATCGAGTCCTCTGAAGTGGAAACGTGCGGGGCGCTCAACCAACTCGAGCTCAACATCCGACTCAGCTGCGAAAAGGGACGACACGACACAGGGCACAGGCTCATGGAAGCGCCAGAAGTTGTACCAGGGGCGCCATAGGGGATGCGGGGGGCGCGTCAGGGGACGCATCAGGGGAGGTGCCCTGGACTCCAGTCGTGTCAGGGACCTGCCACGGGACGTGCGAAGGCGTGCGCCATGCGGCGGCCAGAGGGCGTCATACCAAGGAACGTTGCAAAGGGCGCGCCACGGAACGGGCAAGGGAAACGCCCGGGGACGAACCAAAGAACGCGACAGAGGACGAGCCAAAGAACGTGCCACGCCGGGTGGCGCGCTAGGGGGCGTGCCAATGCACGTCACGCCAGAACGTCGCAAAAGACGCGCCAGAACGCGCATGCTAAACTTCCGCCTGGGCGACCAGGAACCGTGAAAACAAGCTTCTTGCTCGAGACGTCCTCAACACATCCTAATGCTAGACATCCGCCTGGGCGACCTGGACACGTGAAAAGAAGCGTCTCGCTCGAGACATCCTCACCACATCTTCATGACCGACATGCGCCTGGGCGACCTGGGCGCGTGAAAACAAGCTTTCGCTAGAGAAATCCTGCCGCCTGGGCGACCTGGACACGCGAATACAAGCGTTTCGCCCAACGCATCTTCAACACCGCCTAATGTTAGACATCCTCATGGGCGACCTGGACACGTGAAAACAAGCGTTTCGCTCGAGAAATCCCCAGCGCATCTTGATGTTAGACGTCTGCCTGGGCGACCTGGGCAAGTGAACACAAGCGTTTCGCTCGAGACTCTCTCAACCCCTCCTCATGCTAGACATCCGCCTGAGTGACCTGGACACGTGAAAGCAAGCGTCTCGCTCGAGGCATCCCCAGCGCATCTTCATGTTAGACGTCTGCCTGGGCGACCTGGGCAAATGAAGACAAGCGTTTCGCTTGGGACGTTCTCAACAAATCCTCATGCTAGACATGCGCCTGGGCGACCTGGACACGTGAAACCAAGCGTATCCCTCGAGACATCCTCAACACCTCCTCATGCTAGACGTCTGCCTGAGCGACCTGGATGCGCGAAACCAAGCATCTCGCTCGAAACATCCTCAAAGCATCCTCATGCTAGACATCTGCCTGGACAACCTGGACGCGTGAAACCAAGCATCTCACTCGAGACATCCTCAAGACTTGGGCATGTGAAAACGAGCATTTCACCTGAGACATCCTCTGACTTCTGGCCCCCTGAGGAGGAACACCATATAGCGCAAAACAAGCGTCTCGTTCGAAACATCTACAACCAATTCTGCAAAACAAGCGTGGTTCGCTCGAAACATCCGCGACAAACGAAAATGCTTACTCTGCCATGTGTTTTATCGATCGGGATTTCCACAACCAGCGTCTCGCTCGGGACATCAACTTTTTAATTCGCTGGCCCTGCGCGACCTGGTTATCTATCACGAAATCCGCCGACCCCTTGGGGTTCATCGGCGTGTTCGACCATGCCTCCCCTCCCCCCCCTCCCCCGGGAGCACGGTTCGGTCGATTCGAATGGGGGGGCCCCCCGAGGTCAAGGTGAACGCACGCGGGGGGCAGAGGGCCCCAAAACAGATCGAGAGGGCCCCAAGAGGCCGCTGGGGCGGTCCACGAGGGGCACGAGTCGCTGAAAGATCGATCCAAAACGCCCACGCTGGCCTCCAGACGGCCCAAGAAGCCCCCTAAGACGCCCCAGGAAGCCCCCAACAGGCGTCCCAAGACGTTTACTTTTTACACACTCGCCTCTTGGGCGCTCACAACGTCCAAGGCGGCCCAACAGGCCTTCAAGTTCGCCCCAAGACGGGCCAAGAGACCCCCAAGAAGGCTCCAAAACGACCCAAGAGGGTCCCAAGACGGCCCCCAAAAAACCCTACGACGGCCCAGGAGGGCCCCAAGACAGCCCCAAAAGGGGGCCCAGAGAAGGAACTCGAACGGACATCTCGAGTCATCCACCCCAAGACGCCACCGGGTTGCCCCAAGAAGCCCCCAACAGGCCCCCCCCTGGAACCCCAAGGTGGTCGCAAAAAAACCAAAGAGGCCCCCAGGAGGCCCCCAAGAGGTTCAAAAGCCGCCTCCAAGACGAGACGTCTCCCACGAGACCGCATCAGCCATCCGAGTGGCCTCATACCCACAAACCAGGCACGGTGGCGGGATGTGCCGAAGGCCATTCGAAAATCATTCGTTGGGTGCTTTGACAGATGCCCTCCGTCAATGCACATGGTTTCTCGCCCGTTTTCCCACGCGTGCCCATTACACAGTGACGGGCCCAGCCCATTTGCACTAAGTAGCAAGAGGAAAGGGCCCAAACTTGCCAGGACAATCGCATTACAAGCACCGTTATATACCGTGCGAGATACATGGGATGCGCTCACGTGGCACGATTCAAAACAACAACATAAAGACGAGGAGTGAGGGCCCAGGCTCGAGGGCAGGAAAAGGACGCGTGGGGGGCCGAACCGTCAGCGCGGCAGCAGCAGAGGGAAGGTGGCAAGGGGCAGAGGACGACGACGACACTGACGGGAGGAAACCGGAGTGTTGTTTTTGTCGGTCGTACGCTAAATCAGCAGCGCTGCCTGCGCCATGTCGCCGCGGCGTTCACACAAAAATATTGCAGCTGCTTATGGCTGGTGTAAGAACTGCGCTGGCGCCGCCGCGGCAGCACGTGCCGGACCTCCTTCCCATTTCCTCCTCCTGCTCGTCCGTTCGTTCGCAGCTTTAGGGCAGAGAGGGGAAGCCCGATCACAGAGGGTGGACGGCAAAAAAAAGTGGATGGGGAGAGAGAGCGGCGGCGGCAGCAGAGCCAGCAACCAGCAGCAACAGAGAGAAGCCTCGAGCCAAGTGCTGGCCCATACAAGAAACACATGACTGCACCCCTCAAAATCTTTCCCTGCATCCCTCAAAATCTATCCGCCGCCTCCGCACCCCTCAAAATCTATCCCTGCATCCCTTCCGGGACTCTGGCGACCCCAAAACTCGAAACAACCCCAGGTAACAGAGAAAGGCGTCATTTCGCTGGACCCCAAGGATGGCGGCATCTCCTGGTGGTCCGCGTAAGACTTCACCCCGCTGGACACCCCAACAATCCTCTAAAGTGGCGACAGCTTGGCAGATCGCAGCCCCCAAGGGATGGCGAGGTCTCCTGGTGGTCCGCTGAAAACGTCATTCCGCTGGACCTCACAACAACCCTCTAAAGTGGCGACAGCTTGGCAGATCGCACCCCGTCGAAAACGGCGAAGTCTCATCTGAATCTGAGTGAGGCGTCACTCCGGTGGGCCACCCAGCAGTCCTCGAAAATGGCGACAATCTCGCAAATCGCACCCCCCCGGGGATGGCGAAGTCTCATCTGAATCGGGTAAGACCTCACTCACGTGGACCCCCAGCAGCCTCGAAAGTGGCGACAACTTGGCAGATCGTAGCCCGCAAGGGGTGGAGAAGTCTCATCTGGATCTGGGTAAGACGTCACTCCGCTGGACCCCCCCAGCAGCAGATCGCTCCCACGCGAGGGATGGCGAGGTCTCATCTGAATCTGGGTGGGGCGTCACTCTGCTGCACCCTCCAAGCAGCTCTCGAAAGCGGCGACATATTGACATACCGCAGCCCCACACGGATGGCGAGGTCTCATCAAATTCTGGGTAAGACATCCATCACTCCGCTGGACCCCCCAGCAGCTCTCGAAAGTGGCAACGTATGCACTGATCGCAGCCCCGCAGGGATGGCGAGGTCTCATCTAAATCTTGGTAAGACGTCACTCCGCTGCACCCCCCAGCAGCCCTCGAAAGTGGCGACAGCTTCGCAGATCGCAGCCCCACAGGGATGGCGAGGTCTCAACTGAATCTGGGTGAGACGTCACTCCGCTGGACCCCGAGCACCAGTCCAAAACTAGGGTGACCATGCCAAGAAAGACGGCAAAGCAAGTCATGTAGCACGTGTGGTAATATTCAGTGAAGTCATTGGGCGGGGCAGGCCATGGCGCAGGCTCCCCCTTGCCCCTGCCGAAGCAAGTGAAGAGGATCGAGGCGAGCATGGCGGCGTTCGGCTGCCAGGTGCCGCGGGTGTGCTTGCGGGCCCCGAAGCAGGAGAGCAGCGTGCCAGCCTCCATCGCCTTTGTCAAAGCGTCTGCAACCATGGCCCAGGTTGAAATCCAACTGACCCGCAGGGCGCTGTTCGGATGCGCGGCCTCCTTGATCACGGAGGCGGTGATGCGAAACCACTTCTCCGTCACGAGGCCCTTGCTGTCGCTGTGAAACATCCCCGGGTCTCCTGTCCGCGAGCTCGTCGATTGGCTTGGGCGGCTTCTTGGGGTTGTAGGCCTCGGTGAGCAGCTGGCGGAACCAGGCGCTGATATCCGCTCCCTCGAGGGTCGCGTAGTCCTCGGCGGCGAAGGTCGATTTCACCGACCTCTTTACTGTGCCAAGGCCACTGGCAAGCGCAAGTCGAAACGGCCTCTGGTGACATCCCAGGGGCGATGTGCGAGCCCCATCGCCATGCCCCGCTGGCTCTGGACCCCGTCCACGTTCGCGAACGCGGCGTCGCTGAAACACGCGGTGGCGCGCGCCGACAGGTCGACGAGGTTCCGCCCGAGCACGATCGCGAAGTTCGGTGGACTGCAAATGAGCGATGGTCTTGCTCAGCGTCTTGACATCGGCCACAACGGCGGCATTCGCGCGGCGAGCGGCGAAACTCAGTGGGCAGGCGATGTCAACCCGGGTCTGGACTGCCAACCAAAGCAGTTGACCGAGCGTGTGTTGGTAGCTCGACACTTCTGAGGTAGTGAGTCGATCCTTTGCACCTCGGCTTCGCTCGGCCTTGAGGTCTATGAAGTCCGCCTGCGCGGCGGCGGTGGGTGGCCTGGGTCACCCTGAACTCGTCGTCGAGGTTGGTGATAGCACGTCCGAAGTACTTGATGACACCCTCGACCTTCTTGTGGTGCAAATTTTTCTCCAGCGAGGCGAACGTGGATCTCCGCCGGCTGGAGTTGGCGCGCTGGGCGATCAGGAAGTCGCCCACGTGCGAGTGGATCATGGCGGCGAACCCCTTCTCGTGTAGAAGTAATACGCCCTTCTCGAGCTTGCCCTCGACGGGGCCATGCTCGCCGACGACATTCTGCGCGTAGGGGTGCCGCTGCCGGCCCGCGTCGCGCGACCCGTAGATCGCGCCTGTGGCCATCGCGATCGCGGCGGGCTGCGTCCCTGGCGGTGGGTTCTGGGCCGGCATGCGCAGAAGCAGCAGCCTCTCGATGTTCCCCGACTGCGCGTGGGCCGTCATCGCGCCGTAGGAGCGCGTCGCTCGAGACATCCTCAATCATTTCTGCAAAACAAGCATTTTGCTTGGGACATCCTCAATTTTAATTCGCCGGCCCTACTCGACCTCGTTATTTATCGCAGATTGATATATTCGTCGGCCCTACAGCCATCGATTCAAGAGGTAAACCTCTAAAAGAGAACCCTGGGCCAGAGCCCTTTCTGGAAACAAGCGTTTCGCTCGAGACATCCGCGACAGACGAACATGTTTACTTCACCATGTGCTTTATCGATCGGAATTTCAGAAGCCAGCGTCTCGCTCGGGACATTCTCAAAGTAAAGTCCGCCAATCCCCTTCGACTTCGTTGTTTGTCAGAGACAGAATCAGCAGGCCCTCTTCGAACTTGGCCCTGGGGACAGATTATCACACTAAAAGAAAATCTTGGGCCCACGCCCTTCCCGGGAAAACCACTCTCGAAGGGCCTTCATCCACGAAGGGCCGTACTTGATGACCACCGGCACGCCGATCGAGTTGGCCGCGTCCATGCCGTCCTCCCAGCCTGCGCGGGCCGGCCAGGAGAACGTGCGGTGTTCTGTGCGGGCCGGCCCGCCACCATAGGCAACGCGTGCGTGGCTTGGGGGGCTGTGAAGGTGGCAGGAGCAGGGGGAAGAGAGGAGTACGAGGAGGCGAACGGAGGGAAGGATGGAAGGATGACGAGGATGCTGATTATGATGCTGATGATGATCTTGATGTTGATGAGTGATGATGAGTGAGGAGGAGGATGCTGATGATGCTGATGAGTGATGATGATGATGATGAGTACTGGTGGTTATGATGAGTCGTGATGAGTCGTGATGCTGGTGAAGGTAATGATGCTTATAATGTTGTTGATGACGGCGATGATGACGGTGACGATTATGCTGCTGATGATGATGATGGTGATGGTGATGATGATGATGATGATGATGGTGACGATGTTGATCGTGACGATGTTGATGATGATATGATGCTAGTGATGTTATTGATGATGATGTTCTTGATGCTGACGATGGTGCTGATGGTGATGATGCTGATGATGACGAGGAGGAGGATGATGACGATGACGATGACGATGATGATGATGATGATGCTGCTGATTATGATTATGATTATGATGATGATCCTGATGATGATGCTGACGATGCTGCTGATGGTGATGATGATGACGACGACGATGACGACGACGACGACGACGACGACGATGATGATGATGATGATGATGATGATGATGATGATGATGATGATGATGATGATGATGATGATGATGATGATGATGATGATGATGAGTGCGCGTCGCTGGATGCCCCTGGGGGGGGGGGGGGGGGGGGGGGGCAGGACCCTCCCCCCCTACCCTCCTCTCCCCAGTCTGTCGTCGGCAGACCCCCCCCCCTACCCCCTCCTCCACGTTCCCGATCCGTGGTTGGCGGACCGCCCCCCCTCCCCCCTTTCAAACGGGGGGGATCGACCCCCCTCCTCTCCAGTGGAATCAACATTCGGACCCCTCCTCCCCCCGTTCAAGGGTGGCGAGCTTCAGACCACCCCCTTCACTCTGGAAACCTAGCTCCAGACCCCTACCCCCCAACCCGAATCCCCATAATCCTAACCTCAATCCCTAACCCCAAACTCCTCACCCTAACCCTATGCCTAACCCTCACCCAAACCATCACCCTAACTCTAACCTCAAGCCCTAGTCCTAACCCTAACCCAAACCTACACTCTAACCCTAACCCTAAGCTCTAACACCTAACCTCAAACCCATAACCCCGAACCCAATAACCACCCTGTAACCCTCGCCCTACTCCTAAAGCTAACCCTACTACACTAACCCGAACCCCTTAACTCCGAAACACTAAACCTAACAACCTCACCCTAACACTAAGCCGTTGTCCTAACCCTAACCCAAACCTACACTCTAACCCTAACCCTAAGCACTAACACCTAACCTCAAACCCATAACCACGAACCCCATAACCCCCCTGTACCTCTCACCCTAACCCTAACCCCAGCCCTAACTCAAACACTAACCCTCACCTCCGAACCCTAACCTTAGACACAGCCCGAACCCAAATCCCACCATCCTAACCCTAACCCCCATAAGCCCCTAACCCCCAAACCCGAACCCTAACCGCGTAACGCTAACACGTGCCCTAACCCGATCCCCTTAACCCCCACCCCCTACCCTAACACCCTGATCCTAACCCTGCCACCCTTACCCGAACCCCCATGACCCCAACACCCAAATCCCCTAACCCCACCACCCCAATCCTATTCCCCCAACCCGACTCCTAACCCTAACACCCTAACCCTAGCACCCTAATACTAACACCCTAGCCCTCACCCTGACATCCGATCCCTAACCCCCTAACCCGAGCCCTACCGGCACCCCCCGTCCCCAAACCTACCACCCTAACCCTACCACCCTGATCCTAACCCCCTGACAATAGCCCTATCACCCTAACATGCGCCCTACAACCAATACCCGAACCCCCATAACCCGAGCCCTATCCCGAGCACCCCAACTTCGAACCTCATAACCCTGACCCTCACCATAACCCCTTACCCTAATCCTAATACCCTAATTGTAACGCCCTGGCCCTAAGCCTAACTCTACCCCTCTAAACCCGCCGCCCTAACCATAACCCCTTACCCCTAACCCTAACACCTTTCTGCGAACCCGAATCCTAACCCTACCACCCTAGCCCCAACCCCTTAACTCTAACCCTAACACCGTTCTCCGAACCCGAATCCTAACCCTACCACCCTAGCCCTAACCCCCATTAACCCTAACCTTAATATGAACACGCTAGCCCTAACCCTACCACCCTAACCCTAACCCCATGACCCGAACCCTAACACCCTAACCTTAACCCCTAATCCCTAACACCCTAACCCTACCACTCTTACCACAGCCCAGCCACTCGAACCCTGACCATGACCCCCTAACCCGAATCTTATGCCCTGACCCCAAGCCCCTAACCCTAATCCGTTCCTAACCCTCACCCTGACCTAAGCATAACCTCAAACCGAAACCTAAACCCTAACCCGAACTCTAACCCGAACCCTACGCTCAACTCCCTGACCTCTGACCCCCAACCCCTAGCCCTAATCCGTAACCCCCTAGAACCCTCGCCTTAACCCTAATCTCAAACCCTACTACCCTAACCCGAACCCCTTAATTCCGAAACCCTAACCCTAACACCCTCACCCTAATCCCCATGACCCTACCTTAGACCCAACCCGAACCCTAATCCTACCACCCTAACCCTAACCCGCATAACCCCGTAACACCGTAACCGCCTAACCCTAACCCGAACCCTACCCCGACCCTTTTAACACTAACTCGCTACCCTAACCTCTACCCGAACATCCGAACCCTAGCCCTACCACCCTGACCCGAACCCCCATGACACGAATAATGGCACCCTAACCATGACCCGACCACCCTAACCCGAACCCTACTCCTACCGCCCTTCATCCTAAATTCCGAACCCTAACCCAGACCCTTTAACCCTACCCCCCTAACCCTAACCCTAATCCCCCAAAACCTACCACCCTAACCCTAACCCCAACCCCATCACCCTCAAACCCTGACCCTAACACACTAGCCCGAACCATGACTCTAACCCTTCCCCTACCAGCCTGACCACACACCCCTGACACTGTCCCTATCACCATAACCTGAACCCTACCACCCAAACCGCAACCCCCTGATCCTAACCCCCTAACCCCAACACCCTAACCCTAACGCCCTAGACCTACCTCCCTAACTCTAGCACGCTCACCCCGACCCAACCACCCTGACCCTGACCGCCACTATATCTGGCGCATCACAGGGAAGTGGGAGGCACTCCCCCCGCCCCCCTGTCCGGCGCAAGGGGGAGGGGGGTCCAACCCCCCCTCATTGAAAAAGGGGGAAAGGGTCCGAACTCCTCCCCCTCCCCTCTCCAGCGCAAAGGGGTGGAAGGGGGGGTCCTAAACCCCCAACTTCTTCTTGAAAGGGGGGAAGGGGGGGGTCCGAAAACACCCCCCGTTGAAGGGGAGGAGGGGGGAAGTCCGTTTGTATTGGACCCCTGTACAAGTACGGAGGATCCCAGATGATGATGATGATGCTGATGATGATGATGAGGAGGAGGAGGATGACGATCATGATGATGATGCTGATGATGATTATGATGATGATAGTGATGATCGTGATGATGGTGATGCTGATGATGCTGATGATGATGGTGATGATGGTGATGATGAGACTGATGCCCGACGATGGTATGTCCGAGGCCAGGTCGGAGTATGTTAGACAACAAAAGGCAGCACCGTGAACGACACTGGGGCCGGCAAGAAAGATAATTCATCAACCGAATTAGTGCTCTAGCGAACGGCCCCACGGCCACGGCGAAGCCTTGCAGCAGCAACAGGGCGGGAGGGTGGGAGCTCGAGAGCCGAAGGCTATTGACAAGAGACCGCGCATTCTGCATTCGGCCTCTCCCTTCCCCTCTAAAGGCATTCATCTTCAATAGAGAAGTCCATGCCCGACGATGGTATTTCCGAGGCCAGGTCGGAGTATGTTAGACAGCAAGAAGCAACACCGTGAACGACACTGGGGCCGGCAAGGGAGATACTTCATCAACCGAGTGAGTGCTCTGGCGAACGGCCCCGCGGCCAAAACATCCCGAACAATCCGGAGGGCTACTCCTCTGATGTCAGCTGCCTAGCCAGAGCGGTGTGACTGACAGCGCCTCGGAGTGCAGTCTGGCACCGACGAGCGCGCGAGCCCATCGTCTCGCGAGCGTCTTGGGATAGGCCTGCGCAACTAAAGCCCACAAAGGCCTTCCAGGAGCTTTTCCCCTTAGAATCTGATGAGGCTGACCAGTCCTACTACAACAAGTACGAGAGCCGGTGCATAAGCGAGCGAAAGCCGAGACATCAACACGATAACCTAGGAGACCAGTTGGCTTTTTCCACGCTGTCCCATCTGGGCAAAAATGCGTGGCAGCCCAGACAGCTCTGCAGAGACGGAATGGGCCACAGCCTAGACATCGCGGGATTCTCGACTGTAAAAGGGATCTGCAGACGCTTACAACTGGCCCAAACATTCTCACAGCATCTCACTAGTTTATTGGCGGTCGTGATCTGAGCCCTGTCCACTGGGTGCGTCACAGCTGCAAGCCCCAGAGCTCTGAGTGGGAGCGAAGACGGCTCGGCCAGGACGGAGGCCCGCCTGGCACGCGCAGCGGTCCGGTGTCTCGGACTCTGGACCATGTCTCACAGGGCACGCCGAAACGCATGCCCCAGATCAGGCCGGCGTCCAACCAGCCCCGCAGCACGCGGGAGACCTTCGGGTCAGAGAGGTCCCAGTCGGCGCACCAGGCGATGCCCCATTCGATGGCCAGGGCGCCCTCGCTCCGCAAGGCTGCTGCAAGCACGCCTTCGCCGGAGAAGACCTCCGCGAAGATCGGCGGCGCCAGGAAGCGCCTGCGGCGGGGGCCCGGCAATCTCCTCGGCGGCAGCCGAGGAGAGAGGCCA